ATGTAGTCTCAAGTGTCTCTAATTATGCATTTAGTTTTGGGTCGAAATAAAAGGATTTGCTGGTCTTCAGGGAAGAACTCTGTGAGGCATATGCCTGTTCCCTCTAATTGAAACGAATCAGTAGCAGTCTGCAGCTCATCCATCTTCTGGCATATTGTACATGTGTGTGGGGTGTGGGGTGTGTGGGGTGTGCGGGTATGGGGTGTAGTGTATCCTTTTTGGTAGCTCAAATGATTCCGCGTTTGCTCGACCGGCAACCTAGTAATTTCCTACGCACCACATAGCACGAGAATGGCCAACTTGTCGCCAGTAAATGGGCTGCTGTCACGTCATTGGGTGCTAGTAAGGTCTTCTGGTCTTCTCTTAATGGGAGAGGACTGGCAAGGGAACTGGGACTGGGACTGTGTATGGGTTAGGTTTGGTCGCCACAGCCCACAGCCCACGCCCACCCCAGCCATGTCAATGCCCCCTGAATATGAGCCATAGAGTGGGGCCAGGGCTGGGTTGGGCCTGGGCCTGGGCCCGGGCTGCAGTAATCAATTTTAATATACTACCTCCCAAAAAGCGAGAGAATAGTTGGGTGCCCTTGTTCATGGTTTGGTTTATGAGTTCATGTTGATATTGGTGGCCACATTAAGCCGTACGTCGCCATAACACAACACAACACAGCACAACACACCAGAATGGATACCGACACGTCACGTTAGTCAGTTAGTCAGTCAGTCAGTCAGACAGACAGACAGGGCGTCGCGGTTGTGGTTCCACTCATCCATTTACTGGTTCCATCATCTATGGTTTTGTGGTGCTCCCCACTGACGAACTGTCAGCTCACTGTCAATATGTCCTCGTGCGCCCCCCCCGTACAACACCCAAAACTAACCCCCCCAATGCCAATGCCAATGTAATATTCGTACGTCGTTTGGGGATGTTGATTTTTGTCGTCAAGTGTGCATAATTTTATTCTTTACGTTTTGTTTGACTTTGATGGAAAATGGTGTCCCCCATCTATTTACGAGCATGTACTCGTACACCCTCGTACACCCCCCGCCCTGTTTGCCACAGCAAGCTGCCCGCTCCAAGCTGTCTCTTTCTCTCTCTCTCTCTCGCTCTGCCCTGTGTGTGTGATGCGATAATAGTTTCGACTTGAAAGTGAACGTAATGAGCTCGAAGTGTGACACATAAAACATCCTCGCATGAGCCACTGGAGCACAAGGAGTCGCCACTGGAGCGCGTTGCATGATCCACTTAGTACATAACTTCCAGGCCACTGAATGCGAGACGAGAACCTATTCGGGTAGAGGATGAGCATCAATTGGGAGCTGGCAACATCCTTGGATTATTCCATTACTCAGTCGTGAATCATACATACATATAAAGGGGCGGGGGAGGGGGGGGGGGGGGGGAGTATCCATACCAGTCGTGAATCATACATACATATGTATGTAAATGGAGGCGGTGGGATGGGGCCGGATTGGTGTTGGAAATTAGGCAGAATTATGGGGGTGTAATTAGAGTTCCGTTTGCATGTGATGGAAGAATATGAAAACAGATTCCAGCACACATTAAAAGGGGCAATTAATCAAGCCACAAGTCAAGGTAGTAAAAGCGAGGAACCCCGAAAAACTCTGCCTTGCTATTCGGAAGCCCATTGGCAACGATTTAACAGATCCTTGAGTGAGTCGCAATCCTGCCATATAATCCCGTCTCTCTCTCTCTCTCTCTCTGTCGGCCCGAGGAAGACATCAGCTGCAGACTTTTTCATTTCATTTCCAAAACCAAATCACTGTCCAGGCGGAGTCTATTTATGCTTAGCATTGCAGATGCGGATGCGGATGCAGGAAGCGGATGCAGCATGTAGGCTACCCGCTGCTGCTGCTCTGGCTCTGGCTCAGGCTCTGGTTCGCAAATGGCTCCTAAATCATGCGGATATCATCAATGGCATGACAGTTTCTGGCATGTGCCTCATGCAGCGCCGGGGAACCAGCCACAGCCACAGCCACAGCGGTTGAATGCACAATTGCCACCAAAATGCACTCGGAAGTGGAAAGGAAGGAGGCACGGCTTACTGTGTCGCTGTCGCTTGTCGCTTGACGCTGACTTCGTTGTATCCTTGGACGGCTGACGGCTGGAAATTCTTTCCGGCTGTCATCCCTATCGCATGCTGGCTGGCATCGGCATCGCATCGGCTTCGGCTCCTATCCTCCACTGAGTGGTTGATTGCCATAATGAATGCCTCAATGCTGACAAGTTGTTTGCGGCCGCATGAGCAGGCTGCCTGTTAATCCACTTTACTTTCAAATTGAATAATTGAATCAAGATGTCGATGTTGATGTCGATGTGTATTTACATTGAGTAAAAGTAACTTTGTAGCTGACTGCTTTCGTTTCATTTAGTCGAAAATTTCGCCCGCCTCAGGATAAGCGAAATGCGATATGGGATTGTGGGCTGTCGTCAAGCGAATCGCTTGGATTGATTGCCTGGCCTATGCGCTGGGGCCTAGCCTAATTACAGCCCCCAGGTCGTGTCGAGAGGCCTCTGGTGGGAAGGATCTGAGCCCGCAGGCTGGATGCCAATACAATTAGGTATGGGTATGGGAATGAAATGGAACCCTGTCCCCCTCCCCCGATTGCCTGCCCTGTCTGCTTACATTTACCCCATCCGGGTCGAGAGTTGGTCGAGTGGAAATCAAATTATTTTAATGATACACAAATTGATACTTTGAAACAAAATAACAAACCAAATGAAAATTGCTCGCAGCATTTTCGGCTACTTTTGTGCTGCATGCAGGGGATAGGAGATGTTGTATGGGGGGAGGGGGGGGGAATGTGGAAAGGTTTCCATGACACACCAAAGGGAATGGCAAAGGACGAGATGGGACAAGACACCGATGTCCTGGAGAGACATCTTCTGGGGGCTGGGGTTGAGGTTGGGCGACCCTAGCATCGTCGAGAATTAAGTGAAAATTGGATTCTTTACATTTTGTTTTGACTCGGCGCGGCTCTCCCGTTTGCTCGCATTTTCCATTTTCCATTTTCCGTTTCCCTCTTTGCTCATTTTCCACTTTTGGCAAATCGAGTTGCGGATGGATCGGGGTCGGGGTCGGATCGGGGTTCGCATGGGCTGGCTCGGGGTCTGGACTGGGGCGAACTGTTTAATACCTGAAGCGTGTGCAATTGCTATTATTATGCAAATTTGCTGCTTTCATTGCATGCGTGTTACCCCCCCCCTCGCACCGGCCCGGCCATTGTTTCCTCTATTTTTTTATGTTTATATTTATAATTTAAATGAGGGTCGTGTTCTCGGTATGCGTAGTCCGCAGTCTTCGCTCCTTGCAATAATGAGAGACAATTGAAATGTCAATAGACTGCAATTGTCTGCCATAACCGTTCCAGGTAATCGTCAGCGTCAACGTATCCGTGGCCCGGACTTGGCATTATCTAGGGGTTGAACCCCGATGTGACCCATTTGCAGAATATTGCGGAGTTAAGGGTCGATTACCCATAATCGAATAAGTGCCGGTGCCGCTGCCGCTGCCGTTGCCGTTGCCTGATGCTACTGATATTGTAAAACGCATTTCCCCTTGAGGGCAGTTCAAGTCAGAGCTGATACCGAACAGATTTCAGCGACGAATCCATTCGAAATGCGTCGAAGTAGCAATTACTGAAAGATATCTGAGCCATGCGGGTCGACTAGAAAATTTTTGGATAAGTGGTTTTAGTTTTGTGGCCAAGGAACAAACTCCGCGACTATTCGTATCAGTGCCGTACCAGAAGACGTGTTGGGGTCCACTTCTAATGCAAATGTGCACCCAAATCGGAGAAACTTTTGAACTTGCTTTCTTTAAGTTAGTTTAGCCATTTAGATAATACCCAAAATTCCTATTAAATGTATTAGATATGATACGCAGACATGGCCAGCGGAATAGGCAGCCATTTAATTGGTGTGGTGCATAATACCGAGATTCCATTGGCGGGAGGGTAGTGAAGTTTATTGTATGGGCAAAGAAATATGTGGATGAAAGAAAAATGCTTATGGATGAGTGCAACGAGTATTCCGCCCTATGACCGATGGCAATCTTTCGCCTGGAGGGGCTATCAGTGCTTAGTTCTAAAAGTGTAAATTACAAATTGATTCAGGGTGCTTAGACTTTTCAGTCAGCTTCTACTAGTCTGAGTTGGGGACGTACTCTCGCATCTACATTTCTCTACAACACGCACAAGTACAATCTATCGAACACGTTCAGGAAACCCAAATTGTCACAGGAATCTATACAAAGCGAAGCGATGACCATACACGTGGTGTCTGTGGTGGCAGCACTTCTGAGCTGCATGATGGGATACGGAGCGTATCAGTGTCCGGGATTGCCAGGCGATAGCCGCGCTGTGGTGCACTTGGACGAGGGCTGCTGGGAGCAGCTGCTGCAGGGCGAGTGGATGGTGGTCTTCTGCATGCCCCTCGTGGAGAACTGCACCAGGTTGGAGCGGGTGTGGAACAACTTTGCCACCGCCATGCAATGGAAGGAGGAGCGCCAGGTGGAGGTGGCCAGCATGCAGGTGGAGTATGCCGGGACCATCGCTGCACGTTTCTCGCTGGATCGTCTGCCCAGTGTGCTTCATGTGCGCGACGGAATCTTCCGCGAGCTGCCCGTGGTGTACACCGTCAACGAGTGGCTGCAACTGGCCCTGGGCCAGTGGAAAAAGACAAGGCCAATGCCCTTCTGGCGCCAGCCCAATGGCTGCATAATATCAGCAAAACTCCTCTACCTCCAAGCCATCAATATGGTCTACGGCACAGAGTTCTTTGGCGGTGACTACAATCGTGCCACATTGCTCGTGGGTATCGGCAGCTTTCTGCTCTTCTCCATAAGTGTGAATATCGCCTGCAATCTGTATGGCCTTCTAAGGGACACCCTGTTGGCCAGCAAGATCCCAGAGGTGCCAGTAACCACCAAGGAGCAGTCTCAGCCCTCAGCTGCAGGTCTGCAAAAACAGAAATTATCAGTAGAAGACGAGAATTTCGATTCTGGCACTAGCACTTGCTAGAAGCTGCCCAAATTGATTGTTACAATTAAATTTAAATATAAATATAAATAATTAACTTTGTCTGTCCCTCGGTTTATACCGTTGGATCCAAGTCCACGTAATATTCGCTGTCCGTATTCATTTCCGTTTTCTGATACGTATACACAGCTATGGAGAATATAATGTACAGCGCTGAAGAGGCAGATATATATTTCCTTACTATTTGTTTACACTGCACTGCAACTTCTTACCCAGTGGAACAATCAGCCAGTGAATGACGAGTGTACTGAGGCCACAGACGACTATGGATGCGCAGACCAGGCATCGCGATCCCTGGTGGATCAGGTTGAGAAACGGAGACCATTCTTGTTGGATAATGGATCAGATTTACCTTCAGAATGCCAGCAAGCAGCATGGCGCCAGATAGAGTGAAACCCGCGCCGGATACACAGCCGATTACTTTGATTACGGTTGCCAGTTTTTGCGCCCTCACAAAGTCCAAGACTTGATCTAAGCATAGACAGAGGGAAGTTGAGATGAGTCCAAGGATAGGGCAGCTTGCAAATGCCCCTGCAGAAAGGTAGTTCGAAGAACTGATTCCAATTCTCTATTCTTCTATTCTGCAAGGGCAGATTCAATCGAAATTAATATGCACCAATTAAAACGAGTCCAAAAATGATATTCCAGCAAGCCCAGAAAAGGCTGGCTCTGAAACTGGAGCATTTACAGAGCCACTTGCACGACGGCCCCAAAAAGCACATGATTCGAATTCTCTAAACAATTCTTGAAACTCAAATATATTGACATTGGAAGAAATACTGTGAATTCTGACAAACGTGTTCAGATTTCAACTCAGAGATTATTAAAGATGGAAGGTTGAGTCATAGTTTCACAATAAATCCAATCTAAATCTCTTGGGTATTCCATTTAGCTGAATTTCTAGCTGTGGGAACAAGCAAGCAAATTACAATGCAAGCAGTTCATCCATTCAACAAGAAGCTTTGGTGCAAGCAGTGCGCTGCTGTAGCCTGTTGGTTGGTTGGTTTTCACCCTGCAAGCAGTTCAGCCACCTAATCTGAAGCTGTTAGGATTCTTTTCTATTTGCTTTATTTATTTATTTTTATTCCTATTTGTCATACGATATTAATAATTATTACGTATATTTCTTTATTGTACCGAATTTATGCCTGCCCAACAAACGAAACTCAAAACTAAAATCCACGGTACAAGGTACAACACCAAAATAAATATAAAAGTGCAATATATTGTTTGTTTAATTGCATAATAGTAGCTGCAATTTGAATTTGTTTATCAGTAGAGTGAGTCACTGACCGAACATCGCCTTGATAGTACAATAGAATATTTGGCCTGGCAATAACAGAGCCATGCAAATGACTTTGTAGAAGACATTCTTTATGCAAGGGGGTTCTTCACCGAATACGGCCAGTACAGCCGTGGGGATGACCGACTTGACGGCGTTGACCAGGTGGCTGAGTTGGGGCACTAGTTCCTCTAGGCAATCCGGATACGGAATAAAGCCGAAGGGAGTATCACAAGCGTCAATGGCCTTGCTGCTTTTAATCATTTCCCAGACGATCTTCTTTATTTTGGCCCACTTTCCCTTTTTCTCTTTAATTTCTTGTCTCATGGTTGAATTTATCCGGTATAATGGCGTCTCACATTCGTTAAGCGCCTCGAGAAATTCCAAGCAAGCCATCCGGAGCCCTGCAACTATGCCCATAAAACAGCTATACGTTCGAACGGTGCAAATTTCCTGCACAATTCCAGCCACTTCTTCGTCGCTTATGTCCGGTGCATACACGGGTTCCGGCTCCGTGGGCTGGTTCGTGAACGGTGGATACGAGCTGCTTGTGTCGTCATCCCTAATTCGAATACGAATACGAATTTGTGTGTGGGTTTGAGGGTTTTTAGGTGCATGTGGTCGAAACTTACGTTGGAGTTGTCTTGGTCTTCTTCCTATTAGAATTCATTGTCTGACCAAGACAGCTGCAAAGAATTGCCAGAATGACAAGGGTCTTCAGTAGATTCATCTCTTGAATATCTCTCCGGACTGCTGCGGACACTAGACTGATGACAAACATCATTGGCATTGAATTTGTTGTGGTAATTATTTCTGTTCCGCATTTGTCATACATTTACGGGATTCGATTTGCTCTGCAGAATCGGTACGATATATTATTCCATTATAAAATAATAATATTCAATTTTGAAACTAGCAAAGAAGTCAAAGAATATTTCCAGACAACAGCTGAAGTCCTAAACAAACATTTAAACAGCCCGAAACTATTGCAATTTACATGAAGTTACAAACAATAACCAAATTCCTGGTCATAGGGGCGCAAGCCGGGGCGGAGGTTGAAGTTTGAGTAGGAAAGGATACACGAGTACCTTCACGCATGTTTATCGAGAGCCAACGGGCATTAATTACGTATACACCACGTGGCCCAAATGCCACCACAAGCAAATGAGTCAGCCAGCCCCAGTCAGTCAGTCACTATGTGAGTAGTGTGGAGGGGGAGGGGGGGCGGAAAAGTTTCGCTCGGTTTGCTTTGGCATCGTGCATGCAAATTAGGGCTCGATATCTTGTTGGCTTTCTGACCGCTAAGAGAACCTTTGATTACACATGCGAACACTCGATAAACTTTGTCAGACCCAAAGGGGCCAGGGAAACTGATTCCCCCTTAAAACTAATTTTAATCGGAGACAAAGGCAAATAAAGTTGTCTCATGTGTGTAGGTTTTTATTTAAGCGAATTAACAAAGGAAACACGGAGACGTGAAGATAAAGACGATAAATGGTTGGGAAAAGAACTTCCAAAAAATATTTTTGTTAATTTCGGAATAGTTTTCTGCATCTGCAATTTGCTATTAAGCCAGAGAACATTTCACCTGGCATTTGAAGCCTTTTTCAAGCTACTTGGGCTATTAATTCTTCTATGCAATCGGGGAGTGGGATAAAATCCAATCAGCTTCAATTTTGGTAGATTTAGCGATGGTTTCCATTACCCTTTTTACTCCGCCCCACACTCCCTTTCCATAGACTTCCTCTTCTTAGTATTATTTTGCCTAGAAGAATTGCCAGAATGATCAGAGCGATCCTCTGTACATATATTTCCAAATTCTTCTGCTCTGCTGCTCTGCACTGATTTATTTCTACTCTGCATTTGTCATGAACTTCCGGGATTAGGTTTGCTCCAGCGAACTATGCAAAAATGGTTTCGCAACAAGCAACTGCCACTGTCGAATCTGCCACAACACATATTGGGGCAATCATCAAACTTGTCGCAAATCAGCGTGCGACTGGAGTGGGAGGAGTAGGAGTATGGGGAGGAGGAGCAGTTTCTCTTTTGGATACAATCTCGCGCTCGAGCTGAGAGCTTCAGAGCGGAAGCGGATGTCGTTCTTTTGATTTAGCAATTGGAACAGAAATGGAATGACAACAGCAGCAGCAGAAGCAGAAGTAGCAGCAGCAGAAGTGGCAGCAGCAGAAGTGGCAGCAGCAGCAGCCAAAATGGGAAAAGTTTTGGGAAAGTTGTCTTGGCGGAAATGTGGCAAGTAAATTGAAGTACCATTGAAGACCCATACAAAACCACATAGTGAGGGTTCCCCGGCTCCCCGTTGTGGGGTGGGATGGGGCAAGGTCGCTCTTTAAACCCAAATTGCTGTCTTTTTGTTTGACATAATCGAAGGATTTTGGTTGCTGTTGCTGTTGCTGCCCTCTGCACAATGGCACAGCAGACATTCGGGAGGAAATGAAAACATTTTTGACCAGAACCATGCGGGCAACATCCTCATCCGACCGCACTTTGATCTGCCCTGAGGACCGGAGACGGAACGGAGATGGCGCACTGGATGGTAGGAAGTGGTTTGGGATGGTGCTGCATTTAGCGGACATTGAACCGCCATCCGCCATCCGCCATCAGCCATCAGCAGCGTGGACAAGTTACTCAATTACCAGAGTGTCCAGTCGAGCTTATCGGGGGCACACGGCAGGGGCACATGGCGGCAGGACCAAAATATCCCCCATTCGTGGGCTCTAGTCGGTCTAATCCGCTTTGTTCCTTGGCTATTGGCTACTGGCTGCTGGCTTTGATTAAATGTCAAAACAATTGCGGGCTGCAGCAGCATAATCAAAGCTTTGCTTGCGTAATTGCCCAATGAAGCGGACGGAGTTGCACGAAAAGAACCATCCAATCGAGACCCGGGATTAGGAGCAGGTCGCAGGGCGTGAGCACAGCGAGAGAGTGTTAATATCAACAGCGAAATCCGAGCGCAAATCCATATCCAAAGATGTTGAATTTACTTTAAAGTTTAAAACTGAAACAAAACGAAATAAATGTAAGCTGAAAGTGGGTCATCCCAAACAGGTTAGTGAGCGAAGTTGCCACATGGATTAATAGCAGATGAACCCCTGGACTGATTGATTGTTGGGGATATATTTGCGCATTGGTAATGGAATCATTTGTAGTGCTGCTCTTCTCAGATGCTCCCTGAAATCCCCACAACCGGATATGCAGAACGAAGTCTGAATTCATTTCCGGCTTCATTTAGGGCCAACAAAATACACGAAAATATATACAGAATATTTCTGCTGTAAAATTCTACAAGTTTTATCTGCTGCCAACCTGGATGCTGCTTTTTTTTCTTTTTCCTTCTTTATGTGGAACTGACAGGCGCTGCCCGCAGAGCGGGGGAGGAGGAGGGAGTGGGCGATGTGACAACTGGGCATAAGTGGCGCGCGATAACCGAGGCTCGAGACAACAAACCGGCCAGATCCGGAGCACCCGCCCCCACCAATGGACATCATTAGCGTGGGGGATGGAACTGTGCGTGGGTGCAGGATGCGTGGTTCGTGGCTCGTGGCTGGCTGCTGCGGGTGGCTGATTGTCATCCTGTGCTCTGGCAAAGTGAATATAAAAAGCGAATATAAAATAGCAACAAAAGGCACAAAATGAACAGGCAATAGAAAAAAAAGAAAAGTTGCAAAGGGAGGGGAGAATTTTAAGAAGGAAATTTATAACTTCCCCTGCTCCTGCTCCGGCTGCTGCCCCCTGCCACGGCCATCGCAGCAGCGTGCAGCGTGATGACCTCATTAATTTTCAATCTGAGCCAGATTACAGGCCGCTGACCACGCCCAGCGCGGGGCGCATGATGAATCTATACTGGGGCCCCCCCAGCCCAGCCCAGCCCACTCCTAATTTATGATGATAAATGAGTTTCAATCAAGCGGCAGAAGTGGAGTTGACGGCAGTCCAGTGGCCCACCACCCATCGCTTTCTCCTACATCTGTGCAGAGATTTTATGTATAAAAATATATATACATAATTCGATTTGACTTCGTGCCGCGTGCGTGGGAGGGGGATTTTCATTTGAATATTTATGAATTATTTTGGGCGATTTTTCGTTTTGTGCCTTTTTTGTTGTGATGACAAAATTGAAAAAATCAAAAACGATTTTCATTTTTTTGACTCTAATTCGGATGCGACCCAGCGGAATGTTGTACGTTATTGTTGTTGTTGTTGCTGTTGCCATTTTCAATTAATTATTTTTTGCCGAAGCAAATTTGCATAATCCGAATCCGTTGGAGCAGAAGCGATAAACAGTTGCCGACTAAAATGTTGGGAAAAATGCTAAACTCTGCCGGAGGAGAAGGAGGAGGAGCAGCAGCAGCAGTTGTCCACCTCTGCTTGTCGTTGGTTTAAATAATCTGGTAATATTTCAAATTGTCAGGCAAAAAAGAAATGCAGAAACGAATAAAAAGAAAGACGCATCATAAATAAATGGGGACAAAACCCTTTTTAGCCCTTTTCCGCAAAAGCAAAGCAAAATGGATGCCAGCCGAGGGAGGCAGCGTTTTGCAATCAATTGGAGCGAAATGCGGACAGAGATGCTGCGAACAGAGTATATCCATGCCATATCCATATATCCGATAATTTATTACCGCTTACCGTTTCTCCTTGTCCGATCCAAGCGTTGTGGCGTCGTGGCAAGGTAATTATTATCTTTTGGCACACGGTGCGCATACGTAATAAATGGCCGGCTTTAACGGTTTAAGGTTTTGCGACAACCTGGCCATCCCCCAACCGCCCAACCGCCCAACCAGCATACCTCTGCCCGTGAAACCATTTTCATTATTTTCACTTTGCATTTCGGCCACAATTTATGGATCCTGGATGGATCCCTTAGCCGCCTGACCCCGAAACGGAGCAAATAAACGAAAATCGTTAAATTTATGTGAAATAAATTGACATTTGTTCAATGCAAAACTTTCAGCCAGGCAACAGCCGCTGTGTTGCCCCTTTTGGCCAGGCTTTGTCTCTCTTATCGGCGGTGCCTTCTGCCTATCATTTATATTACGGCAAAAGCTGCCAGCGACCACTCAGGCTGAATTAAAAATCCCTTTTCAATTTCACTGTTCAGCAACAAAACAAAACAAAACAAAACAAAATCAACACAGAAATAAGGGAACGGAACCACGAGAAAAGGGTCAAGATGGCGATAATGCCGCTCCCAAGGGTTTCGAATCCATTCTACACGACTAACTACGGGCTTTTGACAGTATCTGCTTTGTTTTTATGAACACATTTCAACGCATTAATGGCTCTGCCCTCTTTGTAGTGGAAACTGCTCAAAGAAAATGTTAATTTAAATGAGATTTTTATATGGAAACGGATCAGCTGAAACCAATGGCAGGGGATCACAAAACGAGGCTGCTTATATGACTGGGGCTATCAGAATATCGGCAATGTGCTCAAAGCCCCTCTTGGTGCACTTGTGGCTGGCCATGCGATTGGCAAAGTCCACCGCCACGGGCACAGATCGTTCCCGTATGTAAACGGCATAGATGAAGGCCGCCGTGAAGGTGTCGCCCGCGCCCAGTGTGTCCACCATTTTTCGTGGCTTGTACGCTGGCGCCAGACTGAATTTTCCCGACTCCTCCAGAATGGCGGCGCCCAGTTCTGCCCACTGAAAGACCACAATCGGACGCTTCAGGTTGAGGCCCCAGCGGGTGCGCAGCTTCTCGTCAATTCTGGTGCAGGCGATCTCGGGCGTTGGCCAGCCCTGCTCGCGGGCGAGCTTCCTCGAACATATCACGTAGTCGCAGTAGTCGACCAGGGGCCACATCTCCTCCAGTTGCTTGCTGAACTCCATCGAGACGACGATCTTGTCCGAACGGCCGACATTGAAGGCCGCCACATGCTGCATCATGGCCAGGGTGGTCTCGAAGCAAATGCTCCGCATGTGCATCCAACCGTAGGTGCTCAGAGCCAGCTTGCGAAAGTCCTCGATCGAGACATAGGGAAACGCCCTGCTGCAGCTGATGATGTTGCGCGTCTTCGTGGACTTGGCCAGAATGACCGAGGAGAAGGGCGGCTCCTGGTCGCAGGTCGGGCAGTTGTCAATGATGATGCCGCGTGCCCGCATATCGTCCGCCAGTATGCGGAACATTTTCAGGCTGCTCAGCATCCCAAAGGAACTCGCACTTGACGCCCAATTGCCGCAGTACTGTGCAGTTGTTGGACGCGTTGCCGCAACGCTGCCAGTAGCCACGCGAGCACTGCGCATGCAGGTCCACCTGCAGGGCCTCCTCCTGCGCGGGAAACTGCCTCACCACCGACATGTAGTCCATGGCAGCGGTGCCGGTGCACAGCACAGTCTTCTTGCCCGCGGCCCAGCTCAGTTTGCTGCCCTTTTTAGACATCTCCAAAAGCAAATTTTGATTCGAATTCGAATAGAAATTGCCACAAGCAGAATAGTTTTCACATTGATGAGACTTACTTGGGTGTCGTCTCGTCTCGTCTCTCGGCCGATCCGTGGCTGCCTCTTTTGTGCTTTTCTGGCGCTAACCCAAGCAGAGATTCCGCTGCCAATTGCTGAAAGATCCGCCACATACTTCGGCTATACTTTCCTTTTCAGTTTGACTTTGGAAACCATCAAAATTATATCGAAATTATTCGAAATTCGAATTCAGAATGAGCCATTTTTGTGCGCCCAGCTTGATGAAGGCCGTGCTGTGTGTCGGCTGCACGGAGATTGCCTACGTGACGAATGTGGAGCGGTTCCCGGAGAAGGGCGAGCGGATGCGCAGCCTGAGCGCCTTCATGCAGCGCCATGGCAGGACCTCCAATGTGTGCACAGCCCTGCGGCTGCTGGGCGCCCGTGTGGAGCTCTTCGGGGTGCTGAGCAAGCTCGGTTCGTTCCGCATGATGGTGGACGATCTGCGGCGCAGGGATATTGACATAAGCCACTGCTCCTGGACGGACGAGAGTCCGACCTTCTCGACAATCATTCGGGAGCGCAGCACGGGCACGAGCACAATGCTGCGCTGCAGCCGGCCGTTTCCGTATGTGACGGCCAAGGAGTTTGCCGGTCTGGATCTCTCCCTCTACGGCTGGGTGCACTTCGAGGCGCGCCATGTGCGGGAGACTGTCCTGATGATGCGCCGCGTCCTCGACCACAACAATGGGCGGGCGGAGGAGGACCGCATTGTGGTGTCGCTGCTGGTGTACGACGCCCTCGAGGACAACTTGGACCTGCTCAGCCTGTGCGACTATGTGGTGTTCGGCAGACTGCTGGCCCTGCAGGTGGGCTGGAGCTCGGCGCACATCGCCTGCGAGCGGTTGAACAGCGCCCTGCGGACGCCCCGGTCCATACACACGCGCCGGCCGTGCATCATCTGCCCGTGGGGCGGCCAGGGAGCCGTGTGCCTGGACGCCCAGGGCAACTTCTTCGAGCTGCCCGCCTACACGCCAAAGAAGATGGTGGACAAGATGGGCGATGGCGAATGCTTCACGGCCGCCTTCATCTACGCGACCTTCGTGCGCAGGCGCCGCCTGCCCGATGCCGTGGACTTTGCCAATCTCGTGGCCAGCCACAAGATCGCCAGCATCGGCTTCGACGACATTGCCAACCTTCAGATCAGTCCGCTGAAGCTCTTTCCTGTGCCCGTTGCGGACAGCGAAGGGTCCTCGGAGGATGAGTACCTCTCGAACGAGCAGCGCCTCTGCCGCAAGTACCTGAACCGACCCATCCAGATACCGAAGCCGGCTGAACAAGTCAACGAGACCGCCTCAGTGGCTGTGTCCGAGGTGGGCACGGAGCCGATTTCCGAGAAGGCTGTGGAGGCTGCCTGGGAGCGTTTGAGCAGAACTGCCTATTCAATTATCGGCTGACACTTTGGCCCTTTAGCAATTATTTATTTGTGGCTTTTCTTCTCCAACTGATTCCCATTTTATTGCAATTAAAAGAGGGAACTGGCACAGAATTCAATCGCACAGCTGATTTTACGATTAGTGTTGGAAAACTTCATGGAATATTTCTCACTGTTGCGTCACAAATCAGAACTTTCCAAAGCGAAAGTCTCTTTAATTGATCAGCGATAGTCGATTCCCAGAATATTGCCCATGAAGAACTCGAAACTGAGTTTTATTTATTTATGAATGAATGCCGGAGTGTACGATTTCTACTCTATTCAATGAAGTGTGTACACAGCATGTTTTGGGGTAAAACTATTGCAATGTGTTGGCAGCACGAGTGTGGCCAGACTGCCTCAAAAGTACAAAAATAAGTGAAAATATTCTGGAAAGGAAAGCGCAATCTCTATTCTCTACGGATCTCTTTAGTCTGCAGCTAAGAATGGGTTCGTACGCGCACAGCATTTATTCCGTCTCTTCCGAAGGCTTCTGCAACAGCTCAGGTTAATTCTAGATAAATACAGCCTGGAATTCCAGCTGCCACGTGTCTTCTTTGACGTATGCGCTGGCGAGGAGCAGCTCGGACGCATTGTGATGCTGCTGCGTGCGGATGTGGTGCCAAAGACCGCCGAGAACTTTCGTGCCCTGTGCACGGGCGAGAAGGGCTACGGCTACCAGGGTTCGGTATTCCATCGCATAATACCCACGATCATGGTACAGGGCGGCGACATTAACGACCAGAACGGCACTGGCGGCCGCTCCATATACGGCGAACAATTCGGCGACGAGAACTTCCGGCTGCAGCACACGGGAGCGGGTGTGCTCTCGATGGCGAGTGCCGGGTCGCATACGAACAACTCCAAGTTCCTGATAACCACCGGGCCGACGCCTTGGATGGACGGCAAGAACGTTGTGTTCGGCCGGGTGGAGGTGGGCATGGATGTGGTGGAGAAAATAGAGGACTTTGGCTCTAGAAGTGGCAAAACCTCGCGCAGAATTGTGATTGCAAACTGCGGCGATATCGAGCCGCGCGAAGGCGTAACCGACCCAGACGACCTATCCATGTACAAGCCAATAAAATAAGCGCCCTCACGCATTATGCTGTAAATATTTAAAGCTCGTTGCTATCCATTGTTGCTGGAACAATGCGATTTTCGGGTCGATCGAGGCGCACTTTGTGCTCTTTGATTTATTTGATATTCTCACAGACGCGTCGGACCATTGCGAAGTATGCCGCAGGCTGGCCCCAGGGCGGAGGAATTTGGCCAGTGAAAATATCTGTATTTATGTATTCAGTCGATGTGGCGGGGGGGGACTGTTGCCACAGCATAATTGCCACATGATTAATTCTGGAGTCAGACGGAGCTTGGCCGGGTCCAAGACCAAGATAAATGCTAATAGATATACATTTATGTAGCCGGGGGGAATGGGCCACGGCCGAGATGGCGATGGCGATGGGGGAGATGGTGAGCGTTTCCAGGACGCTGGGCAAATGTTGTGCATAGCGGTGGAGCCAGGCAAGGCGGTTCTTTGGTCATTTATCATTTCGGACAACAGGCAGCAACAACCAAAGCAGCGGCAGGCAGGCAGACAACAACAATTACCACGAATATAAGTGACAATTTTCATACATTTCCATGGCCACACGGCGTATGAGCGATGATGACAATTTTTGGCGAAGCGAAGCTCTAAAGGAGATTACCAGCAATGACGACGCCATGCCAAGCAGGAGCCGTGTCCAACAAATCGATAAGTGTCCCAGGACTTGACACGACGAGTCTGTGAGGGGGACGGAACACAAAAACTTGTTCCGGAGCTTCTGCCAGTTGTTGCCGCCGCATGAGAGCCAGAATTATGCGTCGAAAATGTGCAGCTGCCAACTGAATAAAGCCATGGCACTAGCACTGGCACTGGCACCCACACTCACAGCCAGACTCACAGTCACAGCCACACTCACACCCACATAAGCCATGGCTGGCTGGGAGGCTTGCTTCCGGAGAGAGCGAGAGAGAGAGCGTAGCAAAAACTCCTTCTGCTTGCATTGAGCAAAAAGCGAAGAGCAACGGCACGGCCAAGGCACACACTCGGACGACCGGCATTTATGTAAATTACAAATTATTTCGGCTGTAAAAATTCAGAGGGAAATTGTTTTTGGCAAGGCAGCAAGGCAGCACAAGAGCCACAAAAAACAAGAGAGCAGAGGCCACACTGCCACTGCCACTGCCACATTCATGGCAATGGCAATGGCAACGGGCAACGGCAACGGGCAACGGCAATGGCAGTGGCAATGGGCAAAAACATTTGCCTTTTTAACTACATTGGCTGTTAAGCAGATATAGGAGATAGTTATTGTTATTATTTCGGGCCACTATGTGTGGCCAGAGCCAGGCAACGGAAATGGCAGAGCGGAATGCAATGCAATGCAATGCGCCGGAGATATGCAAGAACAGAGCTGAGCTTGGCTCAGTCCCTGGCCGCAGTCAGCGTCAGCTGCCGGAAACAATGAAGCTGCGGGCGGTGGGAGCCCCATCGATGGAGCCCCATACGATATATCCTTGCAGTTAGATCTTCACTTCGCAGACAACTACTGCAGCTATAACACGTTAAAGTGGAGAATAGTTGGCTATAGCGATTCGTAGCCATCATCGAAAATTGTTCAATCGCATGCCCCTGCCCCTGCCACTGCCACTGCTCCCACCACGCTGCCTGTGCGCGACTGCATTGGTGCATAGATTATGCTGTTGGCTTCAGTTTATGATTGGCAAATCCAATATACGCTGTGCACTTTGGCAGGCAGGCAGATGCAGATTGGCAGGCTGGCAGGCTGGCAGGCAGGCCCTGCCCTACACAGACCGCAGCGACTGCAATTTCGACAGCCCCTGCCACAGCCGCAGTGCTCCCGAAGATGGCCTCTGCCTGGCTGCCACTTTATGCCACTTGCACGCATATTTCGCTTGGCTTGGCTGACACATTCACCCATACAAACACACACACACACACACACACACATATGCACACATGCACATGCACATAGCGCAGACACAAGATGGCGGCGCGCCCATTTCCGGCTGATGGGGCAACGGCGTGATTATCGGCAGACGGGCAGCGAAGGGCAGGGCAAAACCGCAGCGACAAAAAATGATTGTGTGTGTGTGTGTAGGAACCAATAGTCCGGGAATGGATCGACTGCGGTATACACTGCACACTGGAAGGGAAAATTGGGCTACAAGGCGAGACGCCTCTTCAGCTGCTGGCCGGCCAACGGCAAACCCGTTACGGAAAGGGCATGGAATGGGCCCTTACCCTTACCCTTACCCCCACCCCCTATCCCTTACTCTACCGCCATTTGCCGTGATGGCTGGAGAAAGCAGCCGGGCAAAACTGCTGCCGCAGCAGTAAGCTGCAAAATAAGCCAAAAATATGCGTTATCAAGCTGGGCCAATAAAAAAAAAAACACACACACACATGCGGACGGACACACTCATTCGAAGAGGGGCGCACACAGCTGGAAAAACAGCGGCGTTGCACCGTGGTTGCAACATCGATGCAGGCCTTGGGGCTGCTCCACATTAAAGGAAGTCTTCTGTTGACAGGGCTGCAGAGCAGAATACAAACATTCCCTCACTCCACACTCCACACCACTCATTCCTTTCTGTGAACAAGCAGACTTGATTTTCGGTTGCTGTTTCCATGGCATCGGTGCCACTGTGCGCTCTGTGTGGTGTGTGTGTAAGTGGACCACTTGCAATGGAACCGCTGCTGCTGCTGCTGCTGGTCGCCGTCGCAATTTTGCATTACTTTGCATAACCAAAGAGAGAGGGTCTCGGTCTCCTCTCCAGCTGTGCGGCTGTGGCAGGGGCAGGGGCAGGGGTAGCAGCAGGAGCAGGAACAGGAGACGTAGATCCGGACCACGAACCAGAATGCTTGCCGCTGTGTCTAGAAAATGGAGTTTTGCCGCTGCGCCTCTATTTAACCATAAACTGTTCTTTCATGGTCATTATGGAGACTTCCTCCTCTGGATCGCACATTATTCTTATTTATCTATGGCGCAGGCAGCAACAGCAGCAGCAGCAGCAGCCACCAGGAGCAGCAGCCACCAGGAGCAGCACATGAGTGGTTCAGTAGAAACGGGAGGATTAACCTTTCCATAAATAACGCAGAAAAGTTTACTTTACTTTACTTTACTTAACGTTTTCACTCGTACGAATATTACGTAGCAGGATTCGCTGCGCTTCAGCTCAGCCAAGGGGTTCCTGGCCCCAGCTTAGACTTTCCACCGGAAGTACATCTCTGCTGTGAGCATTTTTCCTCGGGCTGAATTAGTTTGAACCAATAATCAGGACGGGATTTTGGTTTGGGTTTCCTTTGATTTGGAGTGTATTAGAGAGGGGAAAATATCTAGAGTCTGTCTGTGCGGATTTAATCGGCTTCTGTTTGGGTTTGGGTTTGGGTTTGGTTGTCCTGCCGCATGTTTCTCTCTCTCTCCCTCTGATTATTACGCTCATTACATGGGAAAACATTCCATTCCGGGTACGGGTACGTAAAGGTATCCCGCCTCAAACCTCACTTGTTCTCTCACCATACGCTAGGATTTGTTATTATTTTTGTGCTTGGCTGCCTTTTCACAGTTCGACGGAAACGAATACGGCGGCGAGTACGGGTAAAGCAGGGGGAACAGAGAAGCACGGGGGCAAAACAACTCATGTGGGGTAGAAGTCATTGGTTATGTTATCCCTTTAGCCCACACCACACCACACCGCTGTTCAATCCGTTGAAATCTTTTCAAGTCCCAGCGAGCGAAACGCGCGAAATTCATTTGTTAACCCGGAAAGGATGACGACGACGACGACGACGACGAGCTGTCACCCCGTCTCCATTCCATCCTTTGCTGTTGCCTAATCCACTGCAGTCGCGACCCGAGCGAGCCCCCAGAGGACCCCGGCTGTGACAGTGTTTGCTTTCGCAGGAAATGATTGATGAAGGTATCGGCTGGAGGGTGCGAGTGTGGGTGCGGGTGCGGGTGCCCTGAAAGGAAAGCCATTTAAATGCATTAAAGTGAAATATTTCAGGCTTTAATTTGGACGCTGCCCGCTAACAAGGATATAAATCATGGCGCCAAGCTCATCCAATATGTCTGATTCCCCCAGCAAAAAATTCAAAAAAAAAAAAAAAAGATTAGTCCAGGCTGGCCCTCGCATGCTGAGTGTTTTTGGTCCTGAAGTGTCGCTCAGATATTCGCTCTGTCCGCGCGTAGAACTTAATTTTGCTCATGGGTTTTATGTGCTGTACCTGGGGCCTTTTAATGACCTCGTAAAGCGGTGCCACGCCTCAACCTGTTGGCCCGCTCCTGCGCATACCTCTCCTTAGTTGGTGTTTTTATGGCTAGTTACTCTCGTTGGCCGGTATTAGCATAATTTATGTATGAACACGAAACTACTAAGCACACTCACGCGCTCTCTGCGGAGGATGCTGCAAGGCTGCCTTCGTGGATAGTGGAGGTAATAAAGCAATCGCGTCTCCCATTTAATTGCTGAACAATGTGGAAATGGGAGACTGCCAGTGGGTGCTTGACCGCGCCGGTGCTTGACCAAGTTAATGAGTTTTCCTGGTGCTGGTTGGTGACTTTTAATTGATTTGGATAAGGAAAAATGTGTGTCTCTGTGTCTCTGTCTCTGGGATGTGGGCTGGGACCAGCTAAAGAGTTCCAACATCACACATGAAAATACGAGTATGAGTATATCCGCGGCTCGGGCTAGCAGGCCAACAAAAATATCCAAAACTGCGATATTGGAAGTACCGAAAAAAACTGCCGGGGACTGCAATAAAAAAAAAAGTCAGAGAGGGACGTGAAAATGTTTCGTACATTCAATTTTACGATATGCAAAATAATCATAAAACGCGCAGCGCCAACGGCACAGCGCCGCCAAAAATTGCAATAAAAACACGAGTGCCCACCAAACACCAAAAACAGTCAACAACAATGCTAACAACAACAACAACAACCACACTAACAAAATGTGTTCCAACTTCCGCTTCCGCTTCGCCATCGACAACCGCTATGCGGCGCGCCCCGCAGCGAGGCCCCAAGAGCCCCAAC